ACATGGTATTTCTGCAGCGTTTTTTCAAACGCAATTTGTTTGGAAAAAAAAACACTTTTTGAATTTAATGCACAAAAATGGTGAAACTGAAAAGATGATGTTACGCTGTAAATAGATACCAAACATGTCACAATTTAAAATTGTGCACACTCGTGCAACAGCAACAGAGAAAGTAAATGGTATATCCATAGGTGACTCTTTAAAAGCCTTTAGATTTACACAGGAGTTCTGGTTTTAGAAGTACTCCTCTTGATCTGATGTTCGCAGTGATATCTCACATGTGTGGGACGATCGCTTTTGCATGAGTGCAGGACTAACGTGTGCTTTCACCTTTGCACGCAAGCATGGGGAGACGGGGGCACTTACATATTTTTTAAATTACTTATTTATTTATTTTACACTGTCACTTTCATTTTTTTAATCACTTTTATTGTTATCACAGGAAATATAAATATCCCCTGTGACAGCAATAGGCAGTGATAAGTACTCTTTACTGAGAGATCTGGGGTCTGTTAGACCCCAGATCTCTCCTCTGCCCTTCACAGCATCTGATCACACCAAGATCGGTGTGATCAGATGCTTTCCCAGTTTAGAAATTGTGTTGTTTACATATTGTTGAGGTGTTGAATGCTCTTTGCTTCTGGTTTCCTATACCATAGAAATGATTGGAGCCGTTTCAACCTCCTATTACCTCTATGGTCAGCCAGCGGAAGTACTATCTGGTCAGTAGGGTCTCCTGGTGGGACAGGAAAGCCAGAGAGAGCCATGGAAGGGGGTGTGTGGGGGGGGAGGGGGGAATGTCCTCACCCGCTGCTTATAAAAACAAACCAGTGGCTAATTAGCTGCAAGTAAGAAAGCCGACCGCCTGCACCAAAAAACAATACCGGGATAATGCCTGAAGATGTTGGTATAACCAACTGAAGCCTATATTGTTAGCCAGAAAAAAAGAATAAAAAATATATATATATATATTTATAAATACTACATAAATACTGTATATATATATATATATATATATATTTTTTTTTTTTTTTTTCTTTTTTTTTCTTTTCTGGTTAGCTTGCCGGCTAGCTTGAAAGTGTGATGGGTACCCACCTTGTATTTTTTTGCACATTGCCCTGCTAATGTGCACCATTCTTTTATCCTAGTTTCAAAGTGATCTGGGTTACTGCCATTATTGCTGTTTTGTATTTGGCAGACATACATGGGAAGTAGTTGAGACAGTTTAGTTATTTTTCTTACTGGCTAGCTAAAAGATTTGCTGGGGACCCCCTTTTGTAATGTTTTATACATTGCCCTGCCCACATGCACCTTTCTTCTTTGTGCTAGTTTCAAACTGACCTGAGAGACTGCCATCATTGCTCATATATAATGATGTGTTTGTAATATTTTGCCAGGACTTTTCCAGAGCTGTGCTCTGGGACATTCTCTGTTGCATTATCAACCAGGCTTTGTTGGGTAGGTTCCAGAGTGCTGATATTGCCTGTCTTGTTGGTTGGCTGATTTCTGATAGACGTAAACTGACAGCAGAGGCTCATCTTACATGACCCCCCCAAAACAGGGTTAAAGTGAAATGTTCACATCTGTGGTCTCAACCGCTATTTTGAGGAGGACTTTATGCAAAGAGAAAAAAATCTCATATATATACATGGGGAAACATTTATGCTGCTGTCTCCCTTATCATCATGCCATAGATAATGTTGTTAAAGTAAGGAAAAAAGAAAAAGATTACGAAACCAGTTTTGATCCTAAGACTACACCACAAGAGAAAATGTACTCCAGGCAAAGGACCTACCTACTGAACCAACAAACTGAATGGTGAGTCTTTACTATTTCTTAAGATTATTTGTTTTGTGTGTTACAACGTGTATATATGTGTGTACATCACACATGTAGTATGTGGCAGTGTGAGCAGTGGTACTATCAGAGTCATGAGGATTTGGCTTTGATCAGTAGTAACCACACATACTGCTCGCACTTCCTCACACCTCACCTACAGTCTTTCCTCTGCTTTTCTAGCTGCAAAGGCCCATCTTCCTTCTGCTACTGCTCTGGCCTTCCGCATCTTCCTGCCACTGACTGCTTTTCCTTTGCTTTTTCTTGGTCCCTCCTTTCCTGTGTCCCAGGCTCCCTTGGCCCACTCCCCACTTTTTCTTGCCTGTCTTAGCCTGGTCTCCATTGCTGACTGGGTGGAAAACACCTTCCATGCCCCAACAATACAAAAAGTTTATAACCATTCACTAAAAGTGTGGGAATGCAAAATATGGTGTCGTAGTTGTCAGTAGGAGGAAAATGAACTGTGCAAAAGTGGGCAGTAAAAGAAATAGATACCCTGATGTTAATGTCCGTGAGAGGAAGAATATGGATGGATTTAAAGTACTCAAAAAGCTCTGGATTGGGCTGGGTGTCACTGTAGGGTATTGGGTTCCGTAGGGCAGGGCTTGAAAAAGCTGCTCGCCCGCTCGCCAAATGCGAGGAGAAATTCCTCTGTGGCGAGCGGCAGCGAGCGGTGAGCACAAATGAAGCATAGAGCGACTGCACCTGCACTCCAAGCCTCATTGTGAAGCCGAGTTCCGGTTTACAAACTTCTGGTTTCCGGCTTCTGCAGCACTGCCGCCGAGGGGACAGGTGCAGGAGAGGTCCGCTCTCCTCCGCTGAGAGGAGACACCCTCTCCACCACCACGGGGGACTCGGGGAGACAGTAAGTACTGTATACAACATGTCCTATCACTAGAATGGAGTACGGGAGAGCTGGGATATACATTACTCCATTATACTCCATTATAGTGATATGACATGTATACAGTAAAGTATATCCCAGCTCCCCTGTACTCCATTATAGTGATATGACATGTATACAGTAATGTATATCCCAGCTCCCCTGTACTCCATTATAGTGATATGACATGTATACAGTAATGTATATCCCAGCTCCCCTGTACTCCATTATAGTGATATGACATGTATACAGTAAAGTATATCCCAGCTCCCCTGTACTCCATTATAGTGATATGACATGTATACAGTAATGTATATCCCAGCTCCCCTGTACTCCATTATAGTGATATGACATGTATACAGTAATGTATATCTCAGCTCCCCTGTACTCCATTATAGTGATATGACATGTACACAGTAATGTATATCCCCCCCCCTGTACTCCATTATAGTGATATGACAGGTATACAGTATGTATATCCCCAGCTCCCCTGTACTCCATTATAGTGATATGACAGGTATACAGTAATGTATATCCCAGCTCCCCTGTACTCCATTATAGTGATATGACATGTATACAGTAATGTATATCCCAGCTCCCCTGTACTCCATTATAGTGATATGACATGTACACAGTAATGTATATCCCCCCCTCCCCTGTACTCCATTATAGTGATATGACATGTATACAGTATGTATATCCCAGCTCCCCTGTACTCCATTATAGTGATATGACATGTATACAGTAATGTATATCCCAGCTCCCCTGTACTCCATTATAGTGATATGACATGTATACAGTAATGTATATCCCAGCTCCCCTGTACTCCATTATAGTGATATGACATGTATACAGTAATGTATATCCCAGCTCCCCTGTACTCCATTATAGTGATATGACATGTACACAGTAATGTATATCCCCCTCCCCTGTACTCCATTATAGTGATATGACATGTATACAGTATGTATATATCCCAGCTCCTCTGTACTCCGTTATAGTGATATGACATGTATACAGTAATGTATATCCCCCCTCCTCTGTACTCCATTATAGTGATATGACATGTATACAGTAATGTATATCCCAGCTCCCCTGTACTCCATTATAGTGATATGACATGTATACAGTAATGTATATCCCAGCTCCCCTGTACTCCATTATAGTGATATGACATGTACACAGTAATGTATATCCCCCTCCCCTGTACTCCATTATAGTGATATGACATGTATACAGTATGTATATCCCAGCTCCCCTGTACTCCATTATAGTGATATGACATGTATACAGTAATGTATATCTCAGCTCCCTGTACTCCATTATAGTGATGACATGTATACAGTAATGATTACTGTCATTTTGGGCGGGCCGGGGTTGGGGTTGGGGGTGGAACTGGGCAAGTTTGGGTGAGGCAACTGGTGGAGAGTAAGTTTTGTGACGGGCTAGTAGGACTGGATTCGAATTTTAACCCCTACTGTAGGGGATTAGGAGACTAGCAGGGTTGGCTGACCTGTGGACCGTCAGAGTTCTGGAATAGGCTGGGGACAACTGTGGGTGACATGACCTCTGTAGAGGAATGGGGTTCTCAGGGGTTGAGGGAGTTGGAGAGCATTGGGAACTTAGGGAATCTGCAGCTGACTAGAGACTCATAGGAGGCTGAATGCGGCAAATATTTCACCCCCCTTCTCCCACTTATTTCAGACCTGCTATCTGTACGGGCACCTTCTATGAAGAGATGCCTGTACTCAAGATGAGTCTGCTACTGTTACCACTATGTATCAAGGGAGGCTTTGATCTACAATGTCTCCTCTTGATATCTGATGTAGAAAAGCTGGGTGCTGGAATGGTCAAAGTTCCAATACACGGTGCCTGATACCACTCTGGCCATGGCATCAGAGTGAGTACATTGGAATTATCCCTGCAACCCAGCACTTGAGAGCCATTTATCTAGAGTGTACAGTACACATATGTGATGAGGAGGTTGCAGCTCACCATGTAGCATTTTACCACATAAAAACACTGGTCTAAGGGCACATGCCCCTCCTGTCCCTCTCATCCTGACCCTGCCTGTTTCTAGTATTTAAGCGGTATTAAACCCCAAACAAAAACTGTGCTATATTGCAGTTTACCAGTCATCAGATGTGCTGGCTGCATTAGTTTTCTATTTTTGGGCATTCTCCCCTCTGTTTTCACCTGGTTATCAGGGAATTAACACACCTCCTATATTAGAGTGCCTAAAATGTGTATGAAGGAGAAACAGAGATACCTTTGGACAGCAACATTGTTAACCTCCCTGGAGGTATTCCCGAGTGTAGCACGTGGTAAAGTTTCAGCACCACAAGCGGTAACCCCGAGCTACACTCGGGAATACCTTGCAGCGTTGCTCCAGGATCTCTTCTGCACTTACCTTTTCCTGTGCTCCCGCGATGTCCCCCCTGCAGCTTCCCCGGCCACGTCCCAGGCCGATGCCGGCATCTGTCTTCCGGATTTCCATTCCCTGCGATGTCAGGAAGTACGGGGACGGAACGGAGGGAAATTTAAAATGTCAAAAAGTGTCATTCACTAAATACACTAAAATCACATAGTAAAACATTATTGTATCAAACCATTTCACATACATTTTGTCCCTAGTGCTTTGTCCTGTGCCCTGCCTGCATTTTGACTGTTCTTTCTGCCTGGAAACTGAGAAACGTCCATGGCGTCCAAAAAGCGTCCCTTTAGGTCAAAAGCAGTTTTAGACCAGCTAGAGAACAGCGATAGTAAATCAGAACTACTTGCAGAATTGAGTGAAAATGATTCGTGGGGAAATTCGTCATCAGACACTGAAAACGATTTTGCAACTTTGCTCAGTGATGTGCAAACTTGGCGCTATATTTCAAATTTCAGTGTTTTTGGTTTGATTATATTATTGAATTAAATTTATTATTATTATATTATTATTATTATTATTAAATTATAATTTATGATTTTGTGTTTCAAATTTTAACATACTCGGAATGTTTACTAGACTCTTGTTCGGACAGATTTCAGTGGGTTATTCCTAAAAATTACAGGCCTACAATAAAAAAAATACATATTTCCATGCAAAAAAATGTACCGCTTTGAGCACAGAAATACAGACATAATCAGACCGCTAGGGAGGTTAATCTATAGGGAGGGGAGTGTTAAATGCGCCAACAGATTTAAATACACTAACAAACTGAAGCCAAACTCCAGCTAACACTTTTTAAGCAGTTACAGGAAACAGTTGGCATAGGGGTTTTACAAAAATAGATAAAAGTAGATCATTGCAAGCCCCTCTGTCAATATAACATTGATTTGTCTCAACTCCAACTGCTACATATGCAGTACAGCTTGATCTGTTGAAAAATAACAGACTAATGCAGGGCATAGATGGTTCGTTTATCAGACGATTTTTCATCCGAAAAACAAAACATTGGTCGTTCTGTTGCCACCAATGATTACGAAAATCGACCGTTTTTTTTCACATATTTTCCAGCATGGCCAATAAAAGAAATGAGGAGGAACCGCAAAAATTGGTCGATGCCATTGCCCCACTAACAGTGCGAAAATTAGCCGATTATTCTTTCGGACGCAAAATCGGCCAATAAACAAACCATCTATGCCCTGCATTACAGGCAGGATCACCAGGTGAAAATAAAAGAAATAAAGCCTAAAAAGAACACTAACACAGCTCTCACATCTCAGAATTGATAAGCTGCAATATTATTATATTATTTTAATATTTTATAATAATATTTGGTTTCGGGTTTAATGCTGCTTTAAGAAAGAGAGTTCATGAATGAGCAGCTACATTAGAAAGCCTCGAAGGCTGTGCAAGCAGAGTATCAAGAAAACACACTTTATTTAGTGATTATTTCTAAAATAAGATAAATAAGATCAATGTATAAACTTGTACATTTTTAATATAAAATTCACTAACCCTATTATACTTTATGAAATAGGGAATGGTCTTTCTTCCACCATCTTGGGTGGCATTCAAACCCAGAACTCTTCCTTCCCAGGAGCCAGAAAGCAAGAGTGCTAGTAGGCAGAGGGAAATAAGTGTTGCTCCGAGCAGAGCTTAGGTGAATTTATTATGTTATGGGGAGCTTGGATGTGCGTTCAGATCCACAGATACAGCACCGTTCACATTCAGAAATCGATGTGATCTCTGTGCACTAGTGTTCGCGCACTTATAAAGCTACCTTGGCACTCGGCAATTGGGAATCACCGCAATTCTGCCTGTGATTTCAAATCGCCATAAAACATCCAACATGCATTTGGGTCCCATAATTCTTAATAGCACCCAGGGGCGGACTGACCATTTGGAAACTAGGGCACTGCCTGAGGGCCCGGGGTCAGTAGGGGCCCCCATGAGATGCCCCTGGTACCTTTTTCGTAGGCTTTTTTGTGTTTGGGCAAGGAGCCCCATGATCCCCTATTGCCTGGGGGCCAGGGGCCCCATGATCCCTATTGCCTGGGGGCCCCATGAGTCGTCAGTCCGCCCCTGATGGCACCCCAAAGCAGTGCAATTGTCCAGCGACTGTCACACAACAGATTCATGCAAAAACTGTGGCAAAACATGTTCATTGCCAAAAAAGATGCAAGTGCTTCTTTTGGACAACAAAAGTGCATAGGGCAGCCCATTTAAGTGACTGGGCTGCCCTATATGCGACACACACAAATGCGGATAAATTGCTCTTAAAAAATTGCAAGCCAGAACACTCGTTCCTGCTATGCAAGATCTGAATAAGACCTACTTGTAAGTTTTTATTTAGCTTTTTCATAAAGTGTTTTTTTATATGGAAAGCACTATGAGATTCTTCCTGAGCTACAATATCTAGATACTTAATTACTCCAGATGGTTCCTGGTTGCTATGTAACTCCTGAGGGATTGTATGCCCTTTCTGATCATATAAATATGAGGTCCATATGAGGCAAGCACACACATTGGGATTCATTTACTGAAGGCAGATAGGCTGTTCTCTATGCAAGTGAACCTGCCCTTTGCAAGGGAATTTTCCACAGAGCTTAGTGAAGGTGGTGAAGTGTCACTTTGAAAAGAATACCCAATTACATGCAAGTAATAAAAAAAAAAACAAAACAGAATTTTTACTTGCACATGATTGGGGCATGGAAGTCAGCAGAGTTTTCCTTCATTCACTACGCTCTGGGGAAAAATTCCCCTGCAAAGTGCAACTTCCCTTGCAAAATGAACAGGCATTTTGTCATTAGTAAATCAAGCGCATTGAGTGAAATCCATCATTGTGGATAGTTTACAATATACAAAGATTGTGGTGTGGGACCAACCAAAGACTATGACCTGTGCACTGATTTGAAGGTATTAAAGATCTGCTAGTGAACTGTTCCTATCTAATTATGTATATGGACCATATGCATTTAATGATTGCACAATTTCACTTTATATGGAAATTGGCAGGAATATTATAATAGCACTTTACTGATGGTCAGTGGCACATAGCACTTTATATTGAGTTGGAGCACAAATATTTTTGATGCTCTAATGGTATTATATTGTATGAAATTAGCTGCTTGATATATTTATGGATGTCAGTGTCATAAAATACTTCATATGTCATGTGTATAGTGTTATGCATGACTAAGTGGGTGGTTCAAGCACTGTACACATTTATTCATGAAATTTCTGCATAAATAAGACTTTTTATGAAGAAAAGGTTGAACTTATAGACTACATTGAAAGTATATACTACTGGCAAGAGCACCTGCTGTATGTTGTCATCGATGAAGAAAAACCTGCAGCTGCAACACAAATTAGATAATGTTGTTATACCAAATTAGTATTGCAATTATAATAATTATGAGAAGCGATTTCCTGTTTATAAATGTAGCAACATCATTAAGGTAAGATTTTTTTTTTTTTGTCTTTTGCTTCTTTTACTGAACAACCAACAATGACTGATTTGGTTACATCTAATGGCTGTGTACTTCTGTACTACTGCTATATATTAGTGTAATCCTCAAAATTTACCCAGAAAGTAAAAAGTGTTTCTACATGAAAATGAATAAATTGTGGAAGCTTCAGTAATTAATCATCATAGTGGTCTGGAGCAATCTCAAATTTACCATGATCTCTCAATAGCAAAGAGTGTTGCTGTTTACATAGATGACCTAAACTATGAAATCTATGTTAAAAAAAAGTCTAGAAGAAAGCAAAAGATAAGTCACCAGTACTGCCTATAGCAGCAATGGCGAACCTATGGCACGCATGCCACAGCTGCCACGCAGAGCCCTCTCTGTGAGCACTTAAACGGATCGCTATCTCCCGGCAGCCATCGCCAATGCGCATGCTCAGAACCAAGTCACAGCTCGTCCAGAGATGTCGTCGCGCCTGACACCTGCCTCCTGAGTGTTCCAGCCCTCTCTTCTGGATCCTTCACACACAGGTGGCTCCCAGACCCAGCAGAGCTGTGTCACCTGCGGCATATCAGTATCCATGAGGATTTCTTACCCAGGCACAGCGTGCTTTGTTGTTCCACAGGACGTTGGACTCTGGCAATGCTTATATCTGTCCACAAAAATGTAAGTTGCTCTCATACAGACTTGTATATAGCCATATTTTGAAAACATTTCCAGACATATCTCAGATGGATGGGGTTAGTAAATCATTTTTGTTACTTTTGTGTTTTTCTAGACTCCAAGTGTTGAACACCAAAAAATGAGCACAGCAACAAAAGCAAAACTGAAAACAGATAGTGGAAGATCATTCCAAGAGGCCTGGGCAGAGTCATTTGGAAAAATGCACATGTAGAAATTATGTTTTTTCAATAAAAAACTGTATCATTGAAAGTTCTGCTATTGTATTGTGCGCCAGGGAAGGCAGTGGGCAGCGGCAGCCGGCCGGCCGCGACTAATTGAGTACCAGGGCTACTTGCAGGGTGGAATGGTGTACATGCTCCCCGAAAAATAAGAAAACGTCCTTCCACTGCCCTCACCTCCTGGGCCCCTCTCTTGCCCTGATGGGGCCCAGGAAAATGTAATCACAACTCCGTAAGCAAGTAGGACCGGGGGTGAAGTTTAGCAAGCCCTATTTTTTTTACTATGCAGTAAGGTAATGCTGCCCAGGCACCAGAGTTGATGGGGCCAGGCCCGGTACAACAGGACTGGTGGTAATGCCTTATCGGTGGCCTTGCACCCAGGTTACGTGCCCGTCCCTCCTCGTTTCAGCTCTGAATAACAGGCAGGCCTAGTAAATGACTTTGGTGGGCCGTGTCTGGCCCGCGGGCCGTAGTTTGAGGACCCCTGCTATAGAGAATATTTTTCATTTAATACCTGTAATCGTTTTTAAATATATAGTAAAATAACTAAAATGGTGCAAAAAATATTTACACAAAAAGAGATATTACAAAATAGACAATACATGATAGTAAGTCAAACAAGATTAAAAGCGAAATGTGCTTAACAAGGTTTTTCCTAGATTTTGGTTCCTGTGCAGAGTCCAGATCATTTCAGCATAGTCAATCTGGTGTATCAGAGTTACTGGCTCTTATAAATGACTCTCAGCGTTCATGCATATTTTCAGTAGAAAAGTGAGAGTTCTCGGCTGCCACTTGGAGCAGTTTTTTGTGGACCTCAATTAAAAGAGTCATGGGGTATGATGTAGGAGTGCTGAAGTGTTTGACAATACTATCAGTTGATTATACTTCCCATGTAGCCGTAGCCTAATATCCCATTCATTGCAGTCTATAGATTAACATGTAGACCAGAGTTCTCATTTAATCTAGATCTGGTTTTCATATATCTT